CCGTGCCACCGGTGAGGCTTCTGGGTCTCCAAGCCCTGGCCACCCCAGGGTCCCCCGAGCAAGCCTGGGCACCACTTTGAGCTTTGTTGACCCTGCATGACTGGGACAGTGCTCATCATCCTCTCTTGGGGTCTGGAGCCAAGGAGTGCGTATGTCATGGGGTGCGGGCCGTCGCCCAGGGGTGGGTGTCTCAGCATCCAGGCTGTTTTCGGGTGCATCCCAGCGGCCCCTGGAAGTGCTTTGAGCCCGGGGAGCCTGTGCACCGTGTCTGCCCGGCGGGCCCTTCTGCCAAGCGACACTAGATGGCAACATGACACAGGCGGTGGCTGCCCCCCCCTGGGCTGCCACCGCCTGCCCAGGGCCACCGGGAGCAGAGGGCAGGGTGACCTGTGGCCCTGGAGGTCCCGCACCAAAACGCTGGAGACATTGGACCCGGCCACTTGGAGACCTCTCTAGACCTCCTCACAGAAGCCTTGGGGATCCTGCCTGCGTCTCCTCCCCGCATGTCCTCCCCGTCCCTGGCAGGTACCTGTGGGGTGCAAGTGGTCCTTAGGGAAGGACATCCCAAGGCTTCCTGCCCCAAACCTTGGCTTCTTCCCTGCATCACGTTACTGGATGTGTCAGTGCCTGTATGTCTATCATAACACTCTGACCTCTTCCCCTCTCTTCTCCCTTTCCTCTTCACTGATATTAAAGCCTCCCCTGCACTTCTGCTGTGCACTGAAAGGATGCTAAGAGGAGTATTTTCATCCCAGGGCTTTTCTTGCCATGACCTGCAGTGGAGGATTCCTGTTGCTTGGTGGAGTATGGGGTCCTCAGTCAATGCTGATCATCAGGGACTTGTGTAGGACCAGATTTACACACTCTCTTGGAGGAAGTGGCATAATGATACAATAGGCATTCTTTTCTTTTCCCCCTTAAATATCATACCCCAAAAACCTCTTTACAATGCTGCCTGCCCTGGTCTTCCTGGAAGAGTAATGTTTGAGCATGGTCTGCTGTGTGGTTCTTCCACTACAACTTCACCTGATGCTGAGCCCCAACTGCAGGCTGGGCACTGCCTGACACAGGAAGCTCAGGAGGAAGGGGCTAATGCTCTTTGTAACTGAAGGGTTGATGTGTGCCTTCCCCTCTGCAGTCCTGGGCTGCCTCCAGGGCCAGGAAGGTATCAAATTTAAACAAAAGTGTCTCTTTCTTTTTTGGTTTTCTGCCATTACAGAAAATGCTGAAACTGTCACTGGAAAGCTTTAGCCCAGGAGATTTTTTTGAGCCGATGAACATGGTGGTTGTTCCTTGGTTTGGGTCTCTGGGTATGTTATTTTGCCCTAGGCTCAGTGCTGATTTATCCCTGTGCCAGGCAAGCTGCTCCCAAATTTAACCACCCTGGTCACTACAGGGGTGCAGGTGTCTATCTTCAACTCCTCGCCTTTGCCACTGGTGCCTGCTCTGTCCTGCCCTGCCTCTGGGTACCCCTCCCCAGGTGCGGAACACAGAGTGTGCCTGGCTTTGGGCGCTCTCACGGAGGAGAACCCCTGAAAATCAATAGCCTGGACATGTGCTGGGCAAAGAGGAAGTGGCTTGGAAACCTCCTGGTTTTCTGGTAAGCTCCAAGTGCTCCAGCTTCCTGCCTGGTGTAAGACCAAGGGAGGGGGAAAGGTGCTTTTTGTTAGGGTATGTGCCTACAGCTATGCATTAAGGACCTGGATATATGTCTTTGCTAAGAGCCTGTGCAGTGTTACAGGCCCTTCGGCTGCTCCTTGAAGTCCTGCTGACGGCTGTGAAATACGGGAGGCGAGCATGGGGCAGCACATCTGGGTGGGATGGAGCAGGGCCAGGCTGGCACGGTGGGTAATGAGAGGCAGATGGGGGGAGGCAGTGTTTTTCCTGGCAGTCCAGATGGGCTCGGCTTTATACTTGATTTAAAGGGTTTGAAAGTGGGGCCTGGCTGCTGGGGAACAGACCCTGATCACTTCCCGGGGTGGTGAGGGGGGGTCTCGGCTGGCTTTTCAGATATTTAATGGCCCAGCGCAGTCTAAACAGGGAAGTACTTCGGGGTGAGATTAGCACAACATAATCACATCTTAAAAGGTCTTCAGAGACACAAAGCACGTCCGCTCTCATATTAATTACTTGTTATTAATAAAGCTGGGGTCAGGCTAGAGGTGTTCACTCTGGAGCATGCCGACTCCCTCTTTGCAGAGTGGTGGTGTATCAAAGCCCACAGCGTCCACCTGTGCCCACCCTGCTCCAGAAGCCAAATGGCCAAAATTCCTACAGCCACTTTTAAAACTAATTTGCCCCATAATACCCCGATAAGGCCATGCCTTTCGAAGTGCCCAGAACACTGCCGAGTGCTGTAAAATAATAATAGCCAGAGTGTTCTCAGCACGGGAATTTCCTGCTATGACTGATTTCTAATTTGATTTCTAATGAACGTACAGCCACCCATGTTCCCAGAGCGAGGCTGGGCTCGCAGGCAGGAGTCGTCTCCCTCCATCGCTGTGGGGCTGATCCCTGAAGGGACACAGCTGTGCTGTGCTGTGAGGAATTAGCAGCTGTCCCCATTAGCCCTTGCTCCCTCTGTGAGGGAAGGGCTGAGAAGCAGGCGGGATGCTGGGTGTCCTGGGAAGCCTCGAGGGAAACGCTTGGGTTTCCTCATCGCTGAGCAAGAGCAGTCAGAGAGCACTCAGGGATGGGGCAGAGCATGGAGGATCTGCACTGGGGAGACCACAGGTTTGCTACTTCGGAGCTGCACCTTGCTGCAATGCTGAGGAGAGGAGGCCTTCCTCCCAGCAGAGAAGTACGTGGCCAAGGCAGGTGCCTCGGAGAGCACAGCCACCACCCTCCTGCTCTGCTGCAGGCAGCCTGGGCAGCCCTTTGCAGGACAGCCACTGCACTGAGCTGCACTAGATGGTTTTTAAAATCTGGGAATTTTGCTGGTTTCTCTGAACTCAGGTAAGATTTTAACACCCGCAGCACCCTGTGGCGAGGAGTGCCCAGGATTGCCCACGCACCAAACAAGGCAGCATGTCCCTTTGCTCTCCTTTTGCTTGCTGCTCCTTGAATGGGATGCTCCTGGTTCTTGCACTGTGGGGAGAAAAAAAAAAAAAAAAAAAAAAAAGTGTGAGTATCCCTGTGTGGTGTCTCCAGGCTGTTTGGGACACTGTAAGCCTCTTCCCAGTTGCAGTGACTGCCTGAGGTCCTCATAGTTAGCTGCAGGTGATAGACAGTTAGAAGCAGAGACAAGACACCATGTGTGTGTGTCCTTGCGTGGTTCTGGGACTGGGAGTCTCCAGCATTGCATGGCTGCCACGGGCTCTCTTCCTGCCCTGTGCAGAGGAGATGTGGTTCCCACAGCCCTGTCACTCGTGCCGCGGTACTGATCCGTAACCCTGCAGCCTGTCAGCCCCACCGGGAGCCCCCTGTCCCTGCCACCTGCCTCCAGTTCCCCTTCCTGCGCTGGGAGCCCCATGGGCAGGAAGGGGGCTCGTGAGCTACAGCCCTTTCTTGTGGCTGGTGGGAAGGAGGGCAATGAACACCTGCATGTGAAGATCTGCACAATAACCCATTCAGGGAGCAAACCTGGGCCTCTGATGAGCAGGTCCCACTGCTGGATTGCTGCTGGGAACCTGCCCCAGCCCACTGCCGCAGCTTCCTCCTGGGCGCCTGCCTCATGTGCCAACCCCAAACACGTGCCATACCTGTGCCAGGAGCAG